CACAGTGCGATGTGGAAGAGCTCGTGGTAGGTGGATGGGGCTGAATTCACCTCTCCTGCATGTCGTGGTCACCAAGGTCTGAGGGCTCTGCCCCAGCAGAGGCTCCTCAGGTTCTTCGTGCATCAGCTCATGACTTGCAAAAGCAGAAGAAATGCAAGGCAGCACCGTTCCTGCTTGGAGTCGGAGCAGTGCTGCCCACCTGGCAGGGCAGGGAGAGGGCTCCCTCCGACCCCCCGGTACCCCTGGCCTTAGTAAAGGTGGGGATTAAACCAGAGATTAAACTCCTGCTCCAAACCCCGTCTTGCCCGTTCCCAGGCCGCCCATGTTTCCTGGGCCAGGGGCCGGAGCTGCTGCCTGCTGGCATGGGGGTCGGCGGCCCCCTGCACTGGTCTGGAGTGGAATTCATCCGGACGAGGGCTGGGAACACCGGCACTGCTCCCACAGCCTCGTGCTCCCGTTCTGGTTGTTCCCCATTGCCACCCCCCGTCGCTCACAGCACCCATCTGTTACTGCCGCACTTGGCACCGAGGAGCAGGAGAAGGAGTTTGGATTAGTCAGCGCTGTCCTCGCGCTGCGCTGCAGGCTGAATCGATGCTCAGCATATGCGAACTCCTCCTGTAGTGCAGGAGGGAAAAATTACCCCCCCAGGGATGGGGAGGGGGGGGATCAGCAGGCACAAGGGTGCCGGCACATGCAGCATGACTGTGGCACAGTGAAACCAAAAGCTTCTCGCAGCGGCGCACGGAGGGTGGTTTTGCAAGAGGGACTCTGCAGGCGGCTCATCCAGAGTGGTGCGGGCGTACATGTGGCGTGGGCACCAGGCCCCACACCAGCCCGGCAGCCAGCGTGGGCCTTGCCAGCTAAAAACGCCGTCCTGCTGCTGCCTGCGGCTCTGGCAGTGGCCGCAGGCGGGGTGGCGAGGCTGCGCCTTGGCTGGAGCCGGTGGCCGATAGTGGGGAAACGTTCTGGGATTTTGAAATTGGCTTTAGAGGGTTTTTTGATATGTAGGGACCAAGTTGTGTCCAGGTGAGACTGGCTGCAAAGCTGTGCGGAGGGGTTGGTCGGGTCACCCTCTGCCGCGCGGCTCTGCTGTGGGGTCAGCCGGCAGGCGAGCTAGCACTCGGGCTTACCGGAGCTGCTCCTCCACAACTCTTCACGGCGTGTTTCCCAGGGAGGTGTTTAGGCAGGTGGCTGGGGGTCTGTGTGGTGCTTGGCCGGGGAATGACGTCGGGGTGGTTTGGGACATCTCATCCCTCGGAGAGCCACACGATGGGATGCTTGCTCACACAGCATGGGTGTGTTAGCTGAATAAGGGCAAGTTTAGCTCCATCTTCCCCCTGCCCCTTGGCTCAGAGCACGGTGGTGGATGGCTGCAGGTTCTGCCCATGGGCAGGGAACAGCAGCGTTTAGCTGCAGGGTGGTGGGGCCAGAGGCTACCAGGGCTGAGCTGCCTTAAGCATGAAGCTCATCCCTCAGGACCTGGGCGACAGCTCAGAGTACGACTGTGCACTGCACGTCCCATGGCTGAGCCTTTGGTCAGGTTTTATTTCTCTGCTCGGTCGAGCGGTGCCGTTCTCACGGAGCCCAGCACCCTGCCCAGCTTCCTACGGCCCCTCTGCTCCTGGAGCTGCCCCACGCAGGATATCTCGGAATAAACTGGGGAGATGAATTACCTTTTCCTTCCCTCCTTTCCATTTTTCGTGACACCTTCCTGGCTCAGCTGCCATCAGAGCCTGGAAGCGGTAAATCCCTGTGTTTTATCTTATCCATGCCATGCACAGAGGAGTCGATCAATCTTGTGGCCAGGATCAGGCCGGCTCCAGATCCGCGCAGTGCTGCTCAGGGAGAGGTGCAGAGCTGGAGGGGTTTTCCTGCACCCCTGTGCCCTCATGCCTCATTTTTCTCTGTTGCAGGGGAAGGACATGCTGACACAGAAGCTGCCTCTGTGGCAGCAGTCCTGCTCAGATCCTAACAAGATCCCGGACCGCGCTATACAGCTGATGCAGCAGATGGCTGCCAGCAGTAATGGCACCATTATGCCCAGCCCTCTGTCTACATCCAAATCCAACCTCATCATCTCTGACCCCATCCCTGGTGCCAAACCTCTCCCTGTCCCCCCGGAGCTGGCACCTTTTGTAGGAGTAAGTATCTCCGTGGTGGAAGCTGTCCTGCTCTTCTGAGCAAACCTGGAGGCATGAGCCCGGGCCGGTGTCACCGTTGTCCTCAGCAAGTTGCCTTTTGATGGACTGTCATTGGTGCGCAGGGATGTGCAGCTCTGTGCACGCATCGCCCTGGGATGCGGGAAGGAGCCTGGCGTGAGCATGGGCAGCCCATCCCATCCCGGGTTGCTGAGCTCCCGAGGGGCAGGGGCTGCAGGGGCTCCCGGGGTGGGTTTGGGGAACCTGCGAGCTTGGACTCGTTTGGCCAGGCTGGTCCTAGAGCTGTGGGGCTGAACCAAGGTACCCCAGTAACCGTGGGAGGAAAGTGCTTGGAGCGACCCATGGGATGAAAGACCTTTCAGAAAAGGGTCTCCACCCTGATGTGAGGGCACGAGCTGAGCAGTAGAGCTCAGGAGGGATTTACTGGGTGTGAGGCAGCTTGGAGCAGTAAAACACCATAGAGGTGACCCCACTGCTCCCCCCAGAGCAGTTTGTCTCAGGTGGGGGAACTAAACCCAACAGGCTGAAGCTCTGGTCTGCTGTGAGCCACCTTCCCGGGAGCTGCGGTGGGATGCCCTAATGAAGACGTTCCCCATCTTCCCCCTCCTCCTCTCCTCTCTCCGTAGCGCATGTCGGCACAGGAGGCCATGCCGGTGATGAATGGAGTCTCAGGCCCAGACAGTGATGGGTACAACCACTGGTCTGAGATGAAGCCAGCACAGCCCAAATCTTTATCTCCTCCCCAGCCTCAGAAGCAGCTGAGTGACTCTTACTCCAATACACTCCCAGTTCGCAAAAACGTACCACCGAAAAACAGCTACGCATCAGGTGAGGCTTAGTCCTCCCCGTTCTCCGCTCCGGGGGCTCCCGTGGTGCTGGCT